TATATATATATATATATATATATATATATACACGCGATGTGTGTAATAAAGTAACTTCCACTTTGGTATATCAAATTCCGGATACGTTTATTATACTATACTTATGTAGACGTTCGAAATAAAATACAGTTGTAATACGCCGCAAGACACTGAAATATTGCGTCTGGAATTTTTCGTTTCATCCCCCGCGGTGTAATACATTCTCGCGCGTTATTATTTTCCCCATGCCATCCACCACCCGTTGCAACGCGACGACGACGGCGTCGCGCTCGACATAATAATTACTCGTCGCATTCGGCTCCTCTAATGGATATTCCGACGATCACAATAAGGACGCATCCCATCACCACCTCCCAATTGTAAAACGCAGACGTGCGCGTGTAAACGCAGGTAAAATAGCGTCTCGCGAAAGCGGAATATAAACACGCGTTTGCTGTGTCGAAAGAAAAAGAGATACACAGTACGAAATGTGCACGGGGGTAGGAATTCTCGCGTCCGTACTGGATGGATGCGCGACAAAAATGCGGAATTTGCAGAGACACATGCACACCTCAATACGCCCGTCCCCTTCCGTCAACAACCCCTTTGCATATCTTCCCCTTTTTAGCTTTCTACTAATCTCCTAGCGGCCCTTTTATTTCTTCTGCATTATAATCGTCGGCCGGGTTTACTTCCAAATATTACTTCCCTCCCTTTGTAAATTGCTCGACTTATTTATCGTGGAATTAATCGTATGTTTTTATCTAAGGGCAAAAGGACCTAGTAATGTGCTCTAATATTTTAATGAACGTTTGATGATTTATCAGTCTCTAGTTTTCGTGCGTGGATATCATTTTGACATATCTCTCGCTCTCCCCCCGTTTTATTTCTTAATGTAGATATTTCCGTAATGTAAAACCGTGCTCGTATAGGAGTATTATGTTCTAAAATACGAGGCGAATGTCGTGTGTCTCGAAACACAGAATGCAAGTAAGATGAAGTGCGTTTTCACCTTGTGTCTCATTTGTAGGGAAGATAATCCTTCCGTACATCACGCGAAAATATTGCGGATAATATTTCAGCGTTGAAAAAATATGAACGAAAAAGATTCTTCCCGGTTTTTCGTCGTTCTCGACAAACGCAATCGGAATGCGTGTCGTATCGTGCGAACATTACGTCACGCCTCGCCCATGTGGAGACTGCGCAAAACGGACTGACGCGCGATGTCATCCCCCTAGAAAATTTACGCGTTTACACCCATGTTTCCCGGACCACTCGTGGATTACATTCATACACAGCACCTCTGCTCCGCTCGCCATAATTCAATTCCCGATTAGACCACGATGCCCATGACAGGTCACGGATTATTCGCAAACGCGGGGTCAGCAGAGAACTCCGATAGTGTAAGCGTACACGTGGAACACGTATATACACGCACACACATACACATGCATGGAGTAGGAAGTAACGTCGCTTTTTACGAGCCACCAACTTCGGAACTGGGCCAACCGCGACCGCGCGTCTCGCAACCGTGAAAGCATGCGGAGTTCTCTGGGTCGAATGGAATCTTCGTAACTGATAAAGAGAGAGAGAGAGAGAGAGAGAGAGAGAGAGACGTGTGCGTATCTTTGAGCAGGAAAAATTGTTATGTAGATACCGTTGAATTTATTATATTTTCGTCGCGTATATATTCGTCACGCGATATGGAATATGCGTTCCCGAATTGCATGGTCGAAAGAGATGTAGATACATGCCTTTCGTGCACGCAGATGGGATAACGAATCGCTAGCGGTACTTCCGAAGATACATCTCCGTGATGTACAGCCCGTAGTGGTACCGAATCTAGCGTTTCCTGACGTGTACATACGACGCTGCAGTGTTTTCTTCGCGTCTACTTCCGGATCACCCAATTTCCCGGCAGTTTTCCTCCCCCCCCCTCCTCTCTCTCCCTCTCTCTCCCTTTCTCTCTTTTTCTCTCGACCCGTATACCCACTCCGCGACAGTGGGGGAAGATTTGCGCAGTGGCCTCCTACCGAAGGGGTGGTTATCGAGATAGTAGTGGTAATCACGGTCAAGACGTTAACGATTGTCCCCGGAAGACGGATGTACGGTATCCGCGTTGGTCAATAGAGAATCGCGCGACTTCATAAGAAACTCCCAACGACTATTGCAAATGGAAATTACGCTGCGGAAAACGAGAACAATACTATGAGCGACGGCAAATAAAAACGAATAGGACACGGGAAGCCGAATTGATGAGAGGGAGAGAAAGAGAGAGGGGGGGAGGGAGAGGGAGAGAGAGAGAGAAGAAGGGTTAGCGGGATACAGAGGAGAAGGGATACGCAATGAGAGAACGGGACGGCGAGTAGGGGTAACGGTACCGGGATGGAGCCTGCACAGAGGTTGCTGTCGACGCCCTGCCGCTGCTTCCTGGTTTCCCTATATTGATTTTCCACCACGTTGCGAGCCAGACAGAGACGGAACGGAGCCGAGAAACATTTCCCCTCTACGTTTGTGTATATATGTCTGTGTGTATGTGCGTGAACTGAGCTCTTGTAGACGCGAGGGTGGGCGCGCGCGCGCGCGAAGCAACCCTAGAGAGGGAGGAGAAGCGGGTTGATACCCGGGTGGGGGTTCGGAGGGCCCGCGCGGTCATACACGAGGAAGGAAGGAATACCAGGAGCAGAGGGTTATATACAGGCAACGTGTTTGTGGAGAAGGTGGGGCCACCTTTTGCACTTCCACCGGCATGGAAAGATGGGCACGATTATTCGACATCAGGGGCCCACCCCTTTCTCTCCTCTCTCCTTTCTTTCTCTCTCTCTTTCTCTCTCTCTCCCTCTCTCTCTCCCTGCTCCATTCGTGCGATATACACCCTGGAATCCGTCTTTCTTCCTTTCCCCCGTGCCTTACCACGTTGACCAAATAAGTGTCACGGCCGTTTTATTCCAGGACGGCGGCTCGAAGGCCGCGCTCCCTTGTGCCGGCCGTAATTTTCAATATTGGTCCAGGACGTGCGAATTATCACGTGTTTTGCGAGAGATTTATATAAATATCGTGTATCAAGCAATATAGTACACGGGCGAGATATACGGTTTATTAGAGAGAACTCATGCAATATAAGATATATTGTACTATTATATATTCGAATTATCTTATTGTTAGACGTATAAAGAGAATATATATCTTTGAAACAAAAATTCTTCTCGACAGATTTCGAGAGTTGATTTTTCCTTGCATTTGTTTTAATCAAGCTTCTCGCATCGTTGAAACTTCGCGTTGTTTTCGAATCATATCTCACAATTATTTGTATAAATACAACGAGAGCTTTTAAAAGCGGATACATAAAAATGTAACGTTAGAAATTTCAGCATCCGTCCACTCGGACATACTCTAAGAGGAAGCATTTCGTTTGCGTAAGTAGACATTTTTCTTCTGCATCGCGCCCATTATTTTTTGTTACATCGCTCGTTCTTCTCAATTGTTCACCTTCAAAGATTCGACTCTCCTCCGTTATCGTTCTCACCCATTTCTTTCTTCCATAACTCCTTGTCTACTTCCTTTACGAGATGCTAGACGCGTAGAAAGAATCAGGGCAAAGGAATTGTTCTAAAATATAGAATAATTCTTGGTATATATACCTATCAAGCAACGTGAAGAAGATTTTTTTATTATGTCTCAATATCATTTATCATTAGCAATCTAAATTATAATAAATGAATATTATATATTTTTAATTTTTATTTTGATATAACCATGATCATTGCTTAATATAAGAATCTTTTTTTTTCATCATTTGAAATTTATAAAAATTTAAGAATTTTAATTATTTTTCTACAATTTCTACAAACATTTCACTACTTTGAGCGTTTAGAGAAATATGTGAAAAGTCAACATATGGACTGCAAACGATTAATTAAATGACACTGCAACTTGATAAAATGCACAATCCATTTGAATATCCTTTAAATAATGCATATATCGATCAAAATCTATGAATGACGTTCTAATCTGATCGTAGGAAGATTATTAATCTTCGGAGGTCGACTTTTTTATCGAAATTTCCGCGCGAGGAAGTCGGCAATTTCGTGGCGTGACGTCTGAAATAAAAGAGGTCGTCAGGCTTTATCAAACTTTGGTCGGGAACACGGCATTTCGGCCGCGCTATAGCCGAAATAAAAGAAGGGAAACGGATGTGCATTAAGGGTGTGGCGACGACGACGATGACGGCGAAGAGGACGAAGGGGCGAGGATGGATGAAACTTTTGAATACATCCCCGCTCTCTTTAACTGCACTCCCCGATTCGTTACAAGTGGTCTATTACAGGCCTTTCTCTCGCGTCTTTTGCCCCTGTACTTCTTTCCTGCTGCTTACGCGAATAGTATGCTTCCTTCTGGCGAATTCCTCTCTCTCTATAACGCTAGAAACATTATTTCTCTTATCGTTTTTCAACCTTTCCGCTCCGCTTCGTCGTCTTTCTCTTTCGCTGACTTACCGATATCCTATCTCACAGTACATTCGCTCGACACTAAAAGCTTTTTTTAATAAGAAATGAACGAATTTTCTTATATCTCGAAATGGCTCGCGGTGGAAATTGAAAAATCTAAAATTTTTTATATATCATAGCGTCGGTTTTTATCTCATGAGACAATCGTCGTAATGAAAGTCTGAGTATCATCTGTGAATTTAAATAAAGTAAACAATTTTGCTACTAATACATTTCGAAATTAAGGTTTATATCTAGATGTTGAAAAGCAACAAATTCTATTTAGATGTACACAATTCTTAGAATATATAATTGCTAAAATTATTTTACAACTTATACTAACTTATGTGTCAATTATCTCATACACATATATTATATTGAATTGTTTCTGAGTATTGATTTTAGTTTTTTTTTTTCCTGAAAAACCTAAAAATAATTAAATTATAAGGAGTCACATTACGAATATGAGATTCACAGTTTCTTTAATGTTTTCCAGGATCGTATGACGGCTAATGGAAACTCACCGTTAGACAATATGAGGACCTTGGAACACTATCTGAGCGATATTATGCGAGCCGGCGCGGCGGATACCCCGGAACATCTAAAAGGTATGTCTCATATCTTGCTCTAAGCTGCGTACAATTGAAACGATATACAACGCGAGCGTGCAATATCAACGCGGCCGTTTGCAAAATAACGGCTCGGGATGCCGCGTGTCAACACCGTTAAACCGAAAATGTGGGGAATCCCGTGTCGCAATTGCGAGAAATCCGCTCTTTTTCGCTTTTACAACGGTTGGGAATGCGTCGAGAATTCAATGAAGTGTTTTGCGAGAGCTATCACACATCCCCGAGATAATCTTACTCTTGAATCTACGACGAATCTCGAATTTAACGCGTCAGACGATAGTGTAAATAGTTGCAAGGAAAACAGAGAAACATGTGAAAAGTTGCAAACATAACTGAATTTTCTTTTTAATTAAAAAATAGAATAAAATAGAATAGAGCCTCTCAACTATAGAGCTTTTATAATTCGGTAAAATATTTAAATCGGTGCCGACTTTATTTTCTGCCACAAATTTTGCATTATTACGCGATAACATGACAATAGTGAGAACAAATGTGATTCTCAATGATTTTATAAACAGATTGTAAAAATAAACATGATGTACGATACAATGTTCGATACGTCGTTTTAATTTGTTTCTTGCTATAGACTTGTACATTCTGATTATACACAGCGGGTAAAACGTAGATACTGTCCTTCACGTCTTACTTATTTACATTGACACAACGTGCATAATCGTATTGCTATATATATATATATTCTGCACATCGATCTCTAGTCGTAACGTTGCATTTAATGCATCGTTTGATTACGTCGCTTCGAGTCTATGTCTATTATATCGAGGGTGTACTCGAGGTCGATCGCCTCGATGTGAACTCTCGTAAACCGTCCGATATGATGCTACTGAAATTGAAGAGCAATTAGCGCGGAGAGATAAGTACGGAATTTACGTTGAAATATTCACTAGAGGACCGCAAATATACTGCAGTATTTTAAAAAATTTTTATTCCATTGCAAATATTTATTTGATTCATGATTGATCGATGGAACAGCATTAATAAGAAATTACGTTTATGGAAAAGTACTTTCACATGGCTATTATGATGACACTAATTTTCTACGCGACCGCTGCTTGTAAAGTGCTATTGTACGACGTTACAACGTGACGATACTACCGATTCTTATATGAATGGGCCTCGAGCCAGCTACCAACCCGATCAAACTAACCCAAAGCGAGACGACTACTCGACGCATTCAAGTCCAAGTACTCCGCACCCTCCACTCGACGCGACTCTATTCGCTTTACGTCGGCACGTAAAGAGACGATGCAACTACGCGGTGTGTACGTACGGCGTGCGTACGTACGCACGTACGGATGAACGCATAGAGCGTCGAAGAGAGCAAGACGGCGTAAGCGGCGAAAGCAGGACGGCATGCGTCTCGTCTGTGTCGTTTCTCTCCTACCCCTTTCGCACCCCATTTTCTTTTCTTTTTTTTGGCGCCTACCCCGACCTGTCTGCCGGTAAAGAGAGAGAGAGAGAGAGAGAGAAAAAAGAAAGAGAGAGAGAGAGAGAGCTGACAAACCCCTCAGACGAGCATTCTCGCACCCTATAGTCAAGGGCAAGGGTGCCATCACCAAGCGTCTACTTCGTCGAGCAGTCTCCGTGCGATGAAACCGTACGCCAATCAAGAGAGAAAGAGAGAGAGAGAGAATAAAAAAAAGGATGAACGAAGTCGAGGGTTGGACACCCCGATGCAAAGTCTCGGATTTTTTTCCTAGCGAACTTCAAACGAACCTAAAGGGTCCGTCACGAAAGTCTTCTTTCGTCTCGAAACGCGGAGGTAGGCGGTCGTACAAATTCAGAATAGCGCTGAATTCAGCGAAGTGTCTATAGTTCGGCGTCGTTGGGATTTATCGATCGCGCTAGTGCTTCTAGAGTAGACAATGCAAGACTCCGCGGTAGCTTCTGCTGGCGGGTCACAGAGAGAATAACCTGGATTAGGTGGGTGTACGATAGTCGGGTATCATTGTTCCTTGCAAGTGCATTACTGAGATCTCGTTGAGGACATTTATCGAGAAATTAGGACAGTATGATAGCGAGTTGCTATACTCTCTCATGATATTTCATTGGAATCATTTCTTTTTGCTTTTAATGAGTTAATGCTGCTATAATCAATACAAGAAAGCGAGGATTTCTTTTATAAAAATTAAGAACATTATCTCTCGTGCTCGCTTCTTTCAATTATTTTTCTATTGTAACGCGATAATGAATCTGCTCATTAGACTCCGTTCATCTCTTTTCGGAAATGAATTTTTTTATTAAATTATGTCACGCTATCGATCGAGAAAATATGGAAGGATGAAAATAAGCCTAGCGCCTCGGGTAGCCCGATATCTTCATTGTTTCGTATAATTATTTTGAAAATCGGCCGTCTTTGTTTCACGAGGTTCTTTTGTTTTAATCTACCGCGCGCCTGATCCGCAATTAAAATCTGATCCATTCGCGAACAGAGTTAAATAATGACGTAGTATAAAGAGCAACGTTAATCGCAATAGAGAGTATCAACTTTTCATAGAAGAGGAGAAAGTGCGTAGACAGTTTTTCAAAAAGATATTCTTACAAATAGATTTCTATGAAATTTACAATAATTAGAGAAAATTATTATTTTGTTTCCGTCGTTAAAATTTCTAAATATTATAAAAAATATCGAGCGTATTTTATTTAGAAAAATAGTATATACTATATGTATAGTAAATATTAATGATATACATAGCTAAAATTATTAGTCGCATTTTAATGTTATCCGACTTTAATCGCAAATATTTCAACAGTATATATTTCTTAGATGCAAAGAATTTCAGGAATTAACGATCCTTGCGCGCTAACTTGTGCTAAAATACTAAGTAACCAAGTTGAAGTAGCATCCATCCCGCGGATTATAAAGTTTCAAATTCGTGAAGTTTATCGGCGCCTCCGATTTCTGGTGTACAGTATATCTATTAGGAGAAAAGTTCTTTGAAGTTTTGCGGCTGGGTCGGTCTCGAGGTGAGTCGCCCGTTTTTCCGCGGAAATGGTTATGCGAACGAGGCAACTTCATCGACCGTAACTGTGCTATTACATCCTGATTTTCTAAAAACTTGACCTACTGCTGCGATGTTAAAGTGGCGCGATGACATTTTCTGCAGCGACAAGTACGCCCACTCAACGATGCCTTACAATGCTCCTGAAGGGCGGGAGAACTTTTTAAAAGAAAAGGCTACTCTATAATTACGAAACTTGCCTAGTTTGCACTTTCTTCGTTCCAAAGCATTTTGTCGCGTATCTTCTCGCGTGAAAAATAACACTTCGGATCTCTCTCTCTAATCTATCATTTAAATATATAATTTACCCTTATCTCTCTCTCTGCCTCTCGTTATACCTTCTTAGCCATATTTATTTAGGGAGATTAAACATTTATATTTAAAATGAAACGCGTTACTTTAAACAGATAAATTTCTGAGTGTTTGTGATACATATATGTATATACATTTATTCAAATATTTATCCATAAAATAAAAGTGAAAGAAACTCGAAGAAACATATAGAGAGATACAGTACGATGTAAACTTGTTTGTATACTTGAATTCCAACATCACAAATACGAATAAATATCTGGTCCACAAAGCCAATATTTTTTCGAGATTGGAGTAAATTTGTTATTATTGTTGTTTCTCTCTCATTTGTTCCACACGATATTTCTTACCAATTGGAAATTACTGTGATGCGTCATATCAAACGTTACTATGTAATAATGTATATAGAAAACTGAACAAATTTTGCCCCTTTAATAACACAAATGTATTTTCATTCATGGTACCTTCGTACGGCCACCCCTGAATAAACGACGATGCGAGACGTTTAATACGTCCGCTTCGCGCGTCCTTGAACAGTGTACTGGCTTTATAATTTCATTTTCTGACCTATATATATGACTGTCATGTAATCAGTTAGTAACACGACAGGATTCGTAGAGGGTGGTTTTAACTGCCGCGTTCTCCAACCACCTAGGGTTTTCATTGGATCATATATTCTATCCCCTTCTCCATCGTTCTCTTTCTCTCTTCCTCTCTGTTTCTCTCGCTATACTTCCGGCTTCCCTCCCTCCCCTTTTTCTCGAGTTGTACGTAAGAGTGTGTATATAATTGAAAAAGCTGAATGGATAACGAGGGTGAGCGGCGCATATATGCAGACTTGCATTGCGCAGTCACGACCTTGAAAGAAAACAATTATATAATACCCGCTTTAAAATTAAACGTGAAATTCTTCTCAGCCGGTTAAAGGCCGGTTTCATGAGGGTGTTTTATAAAGAAACTATATATCCGTAAATAGAAACGCGAAATACAGTATTTGAATTGGAACCTGGCGTCTAAAGATTTTACCATCTAAAGAAATGATGTTTTTTTATTTAACAAATTATACAACACACATATAAATACAACTTATCTATTTCGACAGCGCGCTTAAATAAGTGATAGAAACAGTATGCAAGAAATTGGCACTTTTTTATCGATCTGTTCTCAAGATATATGTATAATAGAATGAAGCTTTTATATTAAATGCTGAATGTGCATGGTAACATTTTATAAATCTCAGAAATGTCTATAAATATATTATATTTTATCCTCGAATATATTATATGTTGGGATAAAAAATTTTAGTTTCGATATTATAAAATCGAGCTTTTTATAAGAGAGAGAAAGAGATTCCGTCCCACGGAATGAAACTCACGATATAAAAGATTATTGCAAATAAATTTTCTATTAAGAGATATTACATATATACATAGTTCATACATATATACATACCTATATAACATACATATGTTACCGACTTTCAAAAATATCCGATATTTGTTAAAAATAAAGTATTGAATATCTCTGATATTATCGTTCTACGCAAACATGTGTTCCACTGAGCGTCTTTATCGATTTTACAAACTTTGACTGGGTTCCAAGAACAAGTAGATCGTAGAAACGCGAAAGAGTCAATGAACCTCATTC